TTATAAATTTTTAATATTGACATACAATAAAAATGCATGTATTTTGTTAATTATTTTAAGACGACAACTTCTTATTTTTAAGTGTAAATCTTCATCTAATTTTCCTGGGACCAAATTTTCCTAGAACCATCTCTCACCATATATAATCCATTCTGTAGAGTCAAAAGAAGCACTGACTGAAATAATTCAGCTTCTTACCACTCAAGCCAGTCCGACTTCCTCATCTAAAAAGTCATTAGGGCAGTTATTACTTTTATTCTCATTTTGAGAATCCTTGGCAAGCAGCGACATCTCAGACTTAAAACTATTGTGTGGGTACATAGCTTTAGTTGGATGTGTTTTAGGCAGTTTGTTTTTATTAAACTTAATGTCAGTTTAAGACTGGTATTTGGACATATATATATATATATATATCTGAAGATAGTTTTTGAATTCAATTACACATTTTTCCTTTACATATCCTCTGGTAACTAATAATTATCGAGCTCTGTATTGGCCGTCAGTGTGTCTCAACTGGTTTTCCACTTTCCGTCACATTGTATAGTGTCTTTTTCTTTCTAGTGGAACACGATATTGTATACACAGTTAGGTTTTATATTTGTTTTTCATTTTTATAGTTTTGTGAAAATACTGTATTTTTTATAGAAAAAAAGTGAATTTGCTTCTCAGCAACAGATTTACAAAAGTAGCACTCAAAACAGAATGAATATATTTGCAAAAAGGAAAATAAAATAATGAACTAGACTTCTTAACTGTCTGAACTTTAATGGAAAGCCTGCAAGAATTCAATCAGCTGGATATTTTATTCCTTCTTCCCCAAGCTGGCAATCCTTGCTGTTGGATTAGCATTTTAATTCTCACTTTTAAAGTAGCTCCTAATGCTTGAATACAACTACTGTTCCCATGATGCAGTGGTATTAGTATGAAAAAGATATTTGGGTATCCATAGATGAAATGAATTATAAATAAAATGAAAGATGCCAAATACATTATGATTTATTATCTCTGCATTTGGCTCTAAGAAAGCTTTCAATTATTTAAAACCAACTGAAATTATAAACATTTATTCTAAGGTTTGCATTGCATACCCAGTATTTCTGCCAAAGCTTTTATGAGTACATATCACCATATTAATAAACACAGCTGTTGCTGTAAAATTCGTTAGCTACACAAAGCTCTGTTGGTATATTAGACACAACCATTTGAGGGTTTTAGACAGCAAACCTTTAAATGAGTCAAGTAATAATGAATGAAAGTCTATTCCTTGAAAATGTTCAAACTTTTGAGTCATTTTTGGACTTACATTGGTACATTTTTTAGCCATACACTTTTTGATCTTACTTTTTGTTTTGTGGTGAGTATTGTGCCTTCTGTTTTAAATCATTTTTAAAATATCAAAGTAGTAGCAATAGTAAAGTGATGGAGTAACATTGAAAGTTAACTCATTTTTTCAACTCAGTTTATAAGTCAAACATGTTTGTATTATAATTTGCATTAGTGTTATGGAAACATGAAAAATGTTTGTGTTTTTCTTTTTCAAAATAAAACTGACATTATCTCTCTTCATCAGATATGTGGGAAGATAATGAAGGAACTTTATCACTGAATGGCTCTACTTTAGATGTAAGTACTTTTTTGATTGGTGGAATATGCATACAGGTAGTTTAGTTAATATGAACATGGTAATAGCATAGAAAACTCTCTATCACTATCATAACAAGCCAGTCATAGTCTAACAGTTAGTGTGCTGGTCCAAATATATGAAGGTCCATTATTCATGTTCTGTTACTGGAGGGGAAAATTTACACTTCACACTTTGGAGGTGTGGGTGCACTATAAGAGTGACAGTCAAATCCCAAGATTCAGTTAGAGTTACCAGTGGGTGCTGTTTACTGTGTGCTATCCATTTAATCTCTCAGTTCAAGTAGTGCAAGCTGAAACAAATAATAGTAATGTATGTACATGTTAAAAACCTTGTAATTTCAACTTTTACTACACTGGAATGTGTAACAGTAGTTTTATTTTGGAAGGATTAAATATAGCTTGTGTGGACTTTTTGACTATTTATCAGCTAAGTGCCATCAATGCAGAAGTTTGTTTACTGTGTTACTGATAAAAGTGTAAATGAAAGTTTAATGTTAGACAGATAAATAAAATGTTCTTAATATGCAGTTAAGCTGCACATTGTTGACAAGTATTGAAGTATTACTTAAAAATTTATCTTACTGAACTGTGTATTTAAGTATCTAACGTGGAAGATTAACTATAATTTTAATCACAACATAATAATATGAAGAAAACTTACAATTATGGAAAAAGAAGTGATTATATTTATAATACAATTGATTATAATCTTAAATTGCATTTCTCAAAATAAAAAAAAATTAAATTCCCTTGCACTTTGCTCATAGTACATAACAAGTTTTAGTTTATTACTTGAACGTATTCCTAAAGCAGTATCAGTCTGATATAAGTGTGATCTATGATCCAATGAAAATTCAAAGCATAAGAAAGAAAGAATAAAATGCAAATTTTCAGTAGGTTAGAATTGCATAAATAGGACAATTGTGATTATCTTGGAAGAGAAATGTTTATTCAACCTGTGTGAAAATAACTGGTAAGATAAAATAACACTCCAAACTTGTAAATACTTGTTATTGCTGTGATTCAAAAAAGAATAGTGATTGAATAAGTTAACTGCACAGTTTTCCAGGTGACCTAGAAAATTATATATGAATTTGTATATTCTACCTATTAGTAGAGTTAATAGTACCTAGAGTTAATAGTAGAACACTAACGTAAAAACTAGTACAGAGGGTTGAGTAAATTATATTAAAATATATTTTTTCTAATTTATTTGGTGTTCCCATTACACTGTCTTCGATAGCTTCAATCAGGATGGAGACCATGTACATATTTTTTTCTAATTTATTTGGTGTTCCCATTACTGTCTTCGAGGTTTTGAGCCCTAACCTTGTGGCAGCTTGGACCTTTATTTGCTTATTCCTGAGTTCCCACTGATTTGTCAAATGTGAATGGAGGGGACTAAAGTTCCAGGAGTATGTCTACCTACAAGTTTTGACTAATCTGCTCCTCTAAAAACATTCTGCTACTGGTACAGGGCATAGTATTCCTCATACCTGTTTATGCAACCACCCATGCTTCCATCATTTAGTTTCACATTTAAATACAAGGTCATCCTAACCAATCTCCCAATAAGGTAGTTTTCCTTCTGAATGTCCTTCAGTCCAATTTTTATTGGGCTTTTCTGCTTCACTTCTCTAATTGAATTTTTCAAACATTTATTATTCTGGACTCTACTACAAAACTGCTCGACCACATCTTTGTTACAATCTAGGCTATTACCTTCGTACTTTGTAACCTGATTCCCACCTTTGCTCTGCTATTTTTTATGTGATTTTTCTAACCCATGTTAGTAAATTACATGATGCCCACTATTTGTGCATATATTAGGAGAGATTTAGAAAAAATGAAAACAACATAGTATTATCACATTAATTGGAAATAATCTTGTGTCACATCATGGTGCAAATTTTCATTTCATGACAATATGATAATTATAATCTCCAGTGACCCCATTGCTAAGTGTACACACAGTGCCTTGATTGGTCATTTGATCTGATATGCATGAAATGTACATTTATCTTTTGTTTTGTATGTTTCATTATAAACTTTTAGGCATGTACTGTTTGGTAGGGGCTGTTTATGTTCATTTTTCAAACATGAAGCATTGGTATTCTGGCTATCAGTATTTCAGAGGCAAGTCAATATGATTTGAATTTTACATTTTACGGTTAAAATTAATTTCAAACAGGTACTTATCGCTTTTCCACCCATCTCCCCATGGTTTTCCATCCCAACTGCATGTAAGAAATGTGAATTATGGTGGGAAAACAAAGCTTATATAAGTTCTACTGATGCATGTGCATTAAGTGTCGTGGAAAATTAGAAATTAAAGAATTCTGGATAAGTTGACACTTGTTCAGCAATGTATCAAAAACATTCAGAACATTAAGTCACATGTTTATTGTCAGTATGAGAGTAACTTCATAAGGAAAGGCTATCATAGGTAAATACCTATTTAAAGTTCAATTTAACTCTTAAAACATAAAATTTATTGTTGTGCCCTGTTAAAAATTTTTGTTCACTCTTAACATTTGGAAAAACTGAAAATATTTAAGTCTCTAACTCAAATTACATAACAAATTACTCCTACTAAAGCTAAAACTTGTAGTTTAACCCATAGGCAAGCTGCAACATAGAAGAATAGAAAAAATACAACTACACTGTTTAGGTAAACAAAAAATAAAAGATATGCATAGAAATATCAAAAGTATAATGCTTAGATTGCTCTAAGAACACAGCTTAGTCTGATTGGAAGCTATTATTATTTGATATACAAAACTGATCCAACCATTCTGTGTTTTCTAAGTAAAATGTTTTTAGAAAGTACATGAAAGACAGTTCAATAACACAGGCCCCTGATGGTTTTGTTGTCTTGAAATTTTTACAGTAATTCCTGTATACCGAATTTGAAAATGATATCCATCATGTTCAGATTTTTCACAAAATGTCATAACACAATACATAAAAGAAAGACCACAACACATAGTGTTGAGACTAAAAAAATGTAGATATAAGAAAAAAAATTGGGAAGAATGATGATGCATGTTTGTTTGACATCAATGTTCTTTCCTTTTCTTCAGTTTGTTTGTATTTTTGTTAACAAACATAATAAAAAATGTTCATTGTGGTAAATGAAATAATAATTTGATCTAAGTAAGTTTATTTTTCTTCCCAATTTGTAAAAAATCCTGATGTGATAAAAAAAAAGAATATTATTTTCAAAATCTGCATAACTGAATTATGGAAAATCCATTAAAGTTTAAATTTGCAGGCCTGTGTAATCTGAGTTAAAAAGTGTACATTTTCAATTATACACTAGTACTGTAAACAATAAAGAATTTTCCCTTGCTTAGTAGTGCCATCTGGTATTCATGGAACACCACCACAACCTTTACCTCAGACATCTGAACCGCAAGTACATTATGGAATGCAATCACATGTAAGTATCAGAATTTTGGAACTTTATAAACTGGCAGCTCTTCTTTAATATGGGTTTTGTATTAACTGTTGTTATCATAGATACATGTATTGTTTAGTAAGTTCATATTTGTGAGTTGTGAGGTTAACATGTACAATGCAAAGTCAAAATTGTAGCATGAGGCATAGTTTTGTAAGAAGTATATTATTTTCTACATTTGTATTTAATTAAATTTTATCACTAGAGTTTTAACCATGTTCATAAAAATCTTTTAGAACTAATAATTATGTAGACGTGTAAGTTTTATATTAAGTATTGTAATTGTAGATACATCTGTAGTTCAATAAATTCATAAATCCATATTTATGAGTTGTGCAGTTAAAATTGGGAGTCACAGAAGATTGCTGCATGATCGTTTACATGTTGATATAAAAGAATTGTGAGTTGCAAGGCTACTGGTGAGTGAAAATTTTGTGCCTATAGAGGGTAGTACTGGTCAAGAAAGCTTTTTGTGAACAGAGGTAAGATATTGTATGAGAAATTAAGTTTACTTTTGGTACCTAGTGTATATATATATATATATATATATGCTTCACTTTTGTGGTTGAGGCTATTCATCTGTCTTCTTAAAGGTTTTCTGTTGATCATAGTATTCTTTTTTTCTTCTTTTTTTTCTCCCATGGCACCCTTTCCTATTTTGCCCTCGTTTTCCATATGTGACTGCTCTGCTGTTAAGTTCTTCTTGGTCAGGATACTGTCTTATCTTTCTTTTTTTACATTAAGTGGTGTTTGGGGGTTTTCCCAACTCTCTGGAGTCCAGGGTTGATTCAGTCCATCTACATAACTCCTTTTGCATCCCCCTCCCCCATTGTCTCACCATCTGATTTCTTTTTTCTCCCATCAGTGTGAGTTGGAAGTGGCTCAGGACTTACTTCTCAAGGGTGCCATTGAAGAGGAGATCCTTCTCAGTAGGGGGTTTATTCTCGTCTTTTTTGTTCTTCCCAAAATGACGGGAGATTGGAGCTCGGATTTCGATTTAGTGTCTCTGCATCATTCTCAAGTTCACCATGTGGCATACTTCACTCTTCGTTGTGTTTTTACTTCTAGTTTGTGGATTTAGTAGTTCGATTTGTTGGATGCATATCTACATATTCCCATCTCCCCGGCATCCAGACATTTTCTTCGCTTTGTTCATCGTGAATGTTTCAGTTTTGGGCTCGGTTCTCTATGTGTTCTGCCGGGTGGTCTGGACCTTTGCTCGATAACTTCATTCCTGGGGCCTTTGTTTACACCATTACATGGATGACTGGCTACTTCTAGCTTCCTCACAGGCTGACTATGCCTTCCATCTTCATTTGGTTCTTCAGGAAGATGCCTGAGTGGGTTGGCTTACCAAGGTGGGAAGTCATTTCTCACACTTATTCCATTTTTGGCTTTTCTTGGTGTGTAGCTCACCTCATTTCTCTGTCTGGACCAGGCTTCTCCCCTTCAGTTGAAAGCTATGGAACATCTCGTATGTGGCATCTCCTATTCTCCCTTTCCTTCTGCACCAGAGGTTCTATCTCTTTTGGGGATATGGACTTCTCTCAAAGCCCTCATTTGTCTTGATCATGCCCACATGCTCTTTTCTCAGTGGGTTTTGATCGGCCAATGGTGCCTTGCCCCTCTTACCTTTTCCCCTTACTTACAGTCCAAGTTTAACTGGTGTTTAGATTGGATCAATATTACTGCTGGGGTTTCAGTCTGTTCTCCATATCAGTCTCTTGGAACTTCTTGCTGTTCATTGGGCAATACTTACGTTTCTAGTGGCTCTTTGGTACCAGGTGGTGAGGAGCTACTCCAACAATTCTACAATAGTATCCTACATCATCATGGCATGGGGCAATGGGTTGATATACCTTTATTTTCGAATTTTGGATCTTCTAGATTGGGCCCACTGCCATAATATCACTTTGTTGGCATATCTTTATTGCAGGTGCCCTAAATCTGGTTGCAGATTGGTTATCCTATCTCGACAAGGTAGTCTTTGGATCCTCTCATTATTCAGCAGCTGTATGTGCTTTAGGGTGACCCCAATTTGTATGCTTTTGCCTCTCGTCTTGATACACACCTTCCCTGATTTTGGTCTCCTGTTCCTTATCTGTTGGTGGGAGCAGTGTATGCTCTAAGTCAGGATTGGATAGGCTGTTACCTCTATGCATATCCTCCTTTTTATCTTTTTACTCATGTCCTGTCAATAGATCAGACTACTCCATGTCAAGTTCTGCTGGTGGCACCATATTGGGTGGCTCTAACATGGTTTCCACTTCTGCGATGGCTTTTGGTGTTGCCTCCCTTTCCTCTTCCTTCGTCTCCCACACTCCTTCATCAGCCACACTTTGGTGTGCCTCATCCATCCATACACACTCTGTCTTCATGCATGCTTTTGTCTGGTTCCTCACGTGAAGGTTGGGACTTCCAGGCATTTAGCTTCCTTGGTTTCCTGTCCAGTTCATCCTTCCTCTTTGTCGTTTTACCAGCTTAGATGGTATACTTAATGCTGTTGGTCTATATGTTTAGGTTCTCGTCCTTTCTTTCCTACTATTCCTCCATTACCATCCTTTTTCACTTGGCTTCATGACTGGGAACTATTGGTTTCCTTTGTTGTGGGTTAAAGGGTGCTTTTATCTTCAATATTTTTTGGTTTGATGAATGTGCTTCTGTGATCCAATCTCATGTACAGTCTATGTTATTTTGCTCTTTCTTCATTGCTTGTCCTCCCCACCCTGCTTCTCTCCAGGATTGGAACCTCAATGTTGTCCTTTGTGCTTTTACTCATCCTCCATTCAAGCCTTTCTTGTCACATTCATTATATTACTTTTCTTTGCTATCCCTGTGCCTCGTATTGTTGGCATGTGGTCACGGTGTTTGCAATCGATGCTTGCTGTGTTTGTTCAATAGTTCCTGACCATTCCTGTAGGACCAAAACTTTGGCTGCTCAAGAAAATAATCCTGATTTCACTCCTCATTCCCTTCTCTCCATCTCCCACCTTTAGGACCGTTCTGATCCTGACTGACTCTTTGGCCCAATCAGGGCCCTTAGATGGTATACAACAAGCACTACATCTTTCTGCTGTTCCTGGGTCCATTTGTTTCTTCATTGGAATCCTACTTTTTCCTGTGACTTTTCTCCCATCCCCTTTACAGGTTGGATTCAACAATCACTTTGCCTGGAATACTCTTTCCTTTCTCTGGATGTTTGTCATCTTGGTCATGATTTTCCCATGAGATCCATTGCCTTATTTTGTCCCTGGCTGTCCTTTTCTGTCTTCCCTGGGTGGACATCATTAGGGTGGGTATGTGGGTTACTCCATTTGTTTTTATTTTCTTTACTGGGTTTTTTCTACATATATTTTGAATCCCGCCCTGTGGCTAGTTTTGCCTGACCAGATATAGTTAGTCTTAAAATCTGCACTGTACAACCTGTGACCATGCTAGATATCTATCACATTGAGGCTCTTCCTTCTGATGTACAATTCCAGATGTCACCAGCTGTTGGTTGATTGACTCCATCCAGTTGTCATCTGTGCATCGATATCATAAATATTAGATGAAACATAATAAGACATCACAGGATCATGTTTCACACACCGTAGAGATGGGGCTCCTTTGGATCACTCTTAGTTATATCTCATGGTCTGTTGCTGCATAAGTATGTTCATCACAGACCGTCCACTCATGGACTTACATGGGTAAAGCAGATGGGGATTATTGCCCATCTCTGATGCTCTATGGCATTGAGACTCTTCCTACCACAGCCCTGATGTATAATTCCAGATGCTGCCAGGTGTTGATTGATCGACTCTGTCAGTGTCGTAGCTCTGCTTTTCAAAATAGGGTATTGCAGTCACCCATTGCACTATCTCGGGTTCTGCGGTCTTCAGGACTCTCCAATGCATTCTCCCCCCCCCCCTTCTTCTAGTGTAGTATGGTAGTCATCGCTACTTCCCATTTCCTAGCCATTTCCTCCCCGCTTCCGGTGTGATTTGGTTCAATTAGTTATGACCAGTCTCAAGGTTATTAACAAATACATGATTAGAAAGGGTGCTAGTTATGGTAGGGGTTGTGTCACACTCCTGTTGGTGGAAGGTTGTTGCATGATCATTTACATGTTGATATGGAGAAATAATTGGGAGTTGCAAGGCTAGTGGCGAGTGAAAAATATGCCCCAATAGAGTGCAGTACTAATTGAGAAAAATTTTTGTTACAAGAGATAATTATCTATCGGAAATATATTTCCAGTTTAGGAAAACTTTAACTTTCTAAACTTAGTCATAGTTATATGTTACCACTATATGAGGTGACGAATCAGGAGTGAGGTAGCATGTGTTAATATGGTACATGTACTAACTAGGTTAATTTAATTTAATGTTACCAGCATAACCAATGAACTATTGATTATATGCTTGGATTTACTTTTTGCTTTATGTGCATGCCCCTAGTGACTGAGCAATAAACGTTAGTGCTATAATGCTAAAATTCTTGTTTCTACCCCTGCAGTGGGCACAGTGCAGATAGTTCATTATACAGCTTTGTGCATAAACACAAACAAGCTTTGTGTGCATATTCTGCATCAGAGAGTTAATTTTCATTGTTTCACCCATTCTCTATAACTTAAAAATCAGATATAATTGCTACATATCTCATTGTTTGACATGCACTTCAAAAATGTTAATAAGTTTAAATAAAAAAATTGTTTTATACTAGGTCAATGTAAAATCGACCTTATAACAAAAGAAAATAAAACTAACATGTATTTCAAGATGTGCATATATATTCTTGATGTTATACAACCAGAAAAATAGATGATCTCTCATATTCTAATCTCTTGCCATGAGTACCATTACTGAACTATTACTTACCTTACAAATCTAAACCAAGGCTATTACCCCTATTATGCGAGTTTGTCTTTCTAACCTTTTGATTTACATCTCAAACATACCACTCATATTAAGGTTGAGACAACATGTACGCATTCCTGGTGCTGATGATAGTGAGACATGTCAAGTGTATGAGACTGTCGTCAGTTTCAAGGTTGTTGTTGTTTTTTTTATCTTTATGCAGTAAATTATTGAGTAAATGTTTTATTTTTAGATATTTATTGTGTACAATTAAAGTTTGTTTTTCTTTCAACATCTGTGTTATACCAATCTTAGGTAGATTTTATAAGTTCTAACAAGTTTAGGCACATGAACAAAATAATTTCTAGTTCTCCAGTGTTCCACAGAAAAACATGTTCAAATCTTAGGTCCTGTCTTTGAAGTTTAAATTTTTAGAAGGGAGTATCACCCTAATAGTAATAATTCTAACAAGTTACCCTTTGTGTAGGGAGAAAACCAAAATTTTACATGGTACTCCAAATGAGGTCTGTTATATAAAATAATATTTTTATTCTTAAGTATAAAATTTCTGTAAATAATCTGAAACACATTTTCTCATGACAGCAGTTTTATTAACAATTAAACTAAACCACACATGCAATGCAAGTGCTTCCATCACCGTGAGTTCTTTCCTAAGTTCTCTATTCCTGAGTGTGTCACGCTATTTTTCTCAATACCAAAACTTATTTTCTATAAAATAATAAACAACAAAAATCCCAAAACTAACTCCTGTGGAACCACACTAGTTACATTCTGCCATTTGTAGGTATGCAGGTATTAAATTAATCCATTGCTGTTATTTTTCTGATCAATAAATTAAACACCCTTTTTAGGTTTTAGAAATAATGTTTGCAATTGATTTGACTTCTAGAATGTGCTGTTAAAGTATTATTTTGTATTCAAGTGACAAGATATGTCAGTTTGCGATGTGACTTATGTCTTTAAAAATTAATAAAGTAGCAAGCTACATTAAAGGAGCCATGTTTTTTGTTTTTAGCCTAATTTTTCATGCACTATGACCTCAGATGCAGGAAAAAAATTAATATACTAACTTCAAAGGAATTGAGAAGAAAAACCTATACCATAAAATATTTAGGTAATTAGTTACTAAAATCTGTCTAATCTAAAAATAGTTATCAAATCACAATAAATACTTATCAAAAATGCAGTAATTTTGCATAGTTTATAATTTTACTATTCTTGCAAAATTAGATTGTAAAAAAATGTTTGGACTTATTGAATTTTATGTTAGATTATTAGATTTAGCTAATTGATGCTGGTCAGATTTGACCAGACCTGTTTTATGTTAACCCTCACTTTTCACCTCAACTTACTTTAAAACATTGTTATTAATAATTTAAAGATTTTGATAGACTATTTCTGTGTTTAGAATATAAAATATTCTACACAAATAATGAATTGTAACTAAACAATTCCAAAAGGCAGTACTTTAAACCAAGTTGGCCACCTGTATAATAACATAACATGCTTGATAGAACAAAGCAATACCTCAGGAACGTTGGTAGCAGGTTTTCATAGCAGTTTACACAGACCTGACAAAATAGTTTTTTCCAGACAATGTTATCTGTTGCCACTTGCAGTTGTGTTGGTGATGGCTGTCGTAGATAAGACTTTGTGCTAAGGTATAATTTGTTACAGGTGTGTACATTCTGGTTGAATGTTTATAACAGTAATGTGTTCTTACATAAGTGGAATAATCTGACATGTGGTATTATTGGATTTTGTTGTATTTAGTTCATCATCATGGACTGAAATTAGCAAAACCATTATGTTGTCACTAGAAAAGAACTTAAATGATTTTTTCTAAAAAAAATCTCAACTTTTAAAAATAATTTAGATTATTTTGGTATATTGTTGGTTAAATTATTTTCAGTCATGTTAACTAGAAAGCTTGAGGAGGAGAAGATATTTTCTTTGTGGTAAGTTACTGTTGTAGTAAGTTTATTTAGAATGACTTAATTGTACAAAATAATATGTATTTTATTTAACTTAACATTTCAGTCATAAGCATTATTCAGAGATTATTCTATTTACATTGAGAGAATGAAGAAAGATTATTTTAAACCTGTGGTACATATACACCAGGGGGTATGTGGAGAGTTGTTTGGAGATATGTGAGAATCTGTAAAAAACATCAGAAAGAAGATAAACCCAACTCCTTAAAATTAGAGGGCAGTCTGAGTGAGTTACCAATATATTTCACTATCTAGCAAACACTGTTCATATATTATTGATTCACCCTTAAGTTCTTTCTTTAGATTTACCTTTTTATTTATATAAACCCTTTCTAAGTTTGTTTAACAAATTATATGTGTCAGGGGTATACCACTGGCTCAAAGGTCTGACTGGGGGTGAGTGGGGATACATGACATAAAAAGATTGAGATCCACTGGGTTAAACTTTGTTATATATGATATTGAATAAATACTTATTTTTAGAATCCTGTCATTTTCTCATTTGTCTAGCTTAAAAAGAAAGGAGGCTGGCCAAAAGGTAGAAAACGTAAGAGAGGACCACGAGATGCCAATGCTCCAAGACAACCACTTAATGGGTATGTTAGGTTCCTCAATGAAAAGAGAGAGAGAGTGAGGAAAGAAAACCCTAGTGCTTCATTTGCTGAGATAACAAAAATTCTTGCTGGTGAATGGAGCAAACTGCCAACAAGTGAAAAACAAGTGAGCAATTATATATGCTAAAATAATTTTTGTCATAGCTTCAGTCAGGATGGAGACCATGTATAGACAACTATTGAAAACAGGTGTCCACCTTGGATATCTCTGTAATACTATGCACAAATATCCAAGTAAAGGTGAAATAGGTACTTGCTAATACATCATCAACCACCAGATGACATCTTTTGTTTATTTCCAGAGAGTATCACCCTCTTAAGAAGTACCAGCATATAAAGTAGGACTGTGTGTATGTATACAGGACAAACACAGAATCAATTAATCCTAACTGGATAAATCCATATAAATTCAGAATCTCATAACAGAAGGAGAAACCAATTTTTCTTATTTTCAAAAATAAGAATAAAGAATAACTCAGCTGCTTTGGATTCCATTAGATTTGGAGAGTAACCACAAGTGGACAAATGAATTCCAAAGCTGAATAGACAACAATGGGATGTAAACAGAATTGAAGAAATGTATTTGAATTCATCCATATGAGTCTTTAACATGTTTTCTAATGGGTAATGAGACCATGTCAAATGAAAACGTCTGCTGATTCGATGAAGTTAACTTATGATAAGAAATCTACTGAAGTCAGCTTTGTAGCAGGAGACAAGGTGTGGTTGTATCGTCCCAGAAGATCAAAGGGAAGTCTCATAAGGTGTCATCTCCATGGGAAGGCCCATATGACATAGTGGATCGTCTCTCAGACGTGACTTTCCAAATAAAATGTGGTCGGCGAGGTAAGCTAAAGGTGGTGCATGCCAACAGGCTTTGGCATTATCATGGTCCAGGACATTTCAGTTGAAACGAAGTGAACAACAGAACAAAAGATGCCGCTGAAGACGTGTCATCCGAAAAAGCCACTGTCAAAGAAGAAACTCTACTCGGTTTTGAGAAGGGAAACAGTGAAGCCCTTGATAAAGTTACTACCACTGATGTGACTGTTACCGATAATAGGACAATTCCCGATGGAGCAGATGAGCCTCACGTGAAGCAGAAGCCAATGTGATGGAGACCAGTACAAAAGAAGATACGTCCCATAAAATTAAGAGACTTTGTTGAATTTTAATTTTGTGTTTGTAAATTCTGTCCATTTAAGTAAGTTATTGTTAATTTTCTATTGGTTTAATGTAAGCGGCTATTGTTCAGGACGAACAATACTAAGGAAGGGGCAGTGTTACGACAGCAGAAGTCACGTGACGCTAGTAACACGTATTGAGTTCTAGAAAGATCAGGGAACATCACGAATAATTCAGTATTTGCTAGGCGCCCTCTATTCTTTTTTATAGCTGCTCCAGACAATGAATTGGAATTGAATAGCGGACAGAGAGGTTGAAGATATAGATGGACAATAGAGTCAAGCGCGGTAGTAAGTAAAGTGCGTGAATCGTTTGTTGAGAATTATAGTGTGTGTTTAAGTGACTGTGAAAATTAAATGTATTGCAAAGTTGTATTGATAAAGAATAAACTAGTTTTATTTAAGAAAGGACTTGTATTGCTGAAGTTTCTCTGGAAGAATTTCTACCGGAAATTATCAAACGAGCAGTGACGTAACAGTTCTATAACTATTATAAAATATTTCTCAAAGTTTCTCAATCTGAACACTGTGAGAGAAACTTTCAAACTGAAAATGAAATAGACAATACTGTGTACTGAAAACAATGTAATATGGAATGTCATTTGGAAGATTATAACTTTGCCTTTCTGTTTGTTATAAGTGATATAATATAAAACATCATAGAGAATTATTGGCAATTTTTGAAAGAGAGGATGTGACAGGTGGGCATGGCAAGTGGATCTGACTTTTTTTAGTTTATGTCTTTGTAGACAAAGCTATATGAATTTGATTTCATGTTCATAGTATCTATATTATAATGAGTAATTTACATTAAATTTCATACTTCAGAGAGGGGTGATAAATACATTAGAGAATGGGCAAGATCTAGAGAACAAATGTCACGATTCTCATACAAGTGGAAATTGAGGATTTATTTAGATATTTCCTTTTAAAATTAAGAAATTAAAACTTGTATTAAAATTTGATCTATTAAATATGTTTGATGCCAAGTTAATTTTTATATATTGATAATAAAGTTGTTAAATTAAATTTTGAATGTAACTGTAAAAAACTGTGATGCACAAGTTAACCTTCCTGTAGCTAGAGGATTAAGCATTTTTAGTCTAGATGTACACTTGTCCTAAGAGAAAATTATTTTTGCTTAGTTTTATAAACTTATGGAATGGTTTTGCTGGTGATGAGATTTGCACTGTTAATTTGAACTTTTTCAGCATTCTGATGGTTATTGATATAAAAGGAGTAGTGCTATGAAGTTTTTAATATTAGTGTTTATTTTTGAATTTGTAATTTGTTGATGAAGTTTGTTCTTGATGAGCCAAATAGCCTACTAACACTACATCTTTTCTTACATGAAGATCTTTCTCTTACCTTGAATCCTGTTGTACAGATATATTCACATTACGATTTCATTCAAAACAGGTAGACTTAAATACTGAGACCTCTTTTTTATGAAGTTACTCTCATGCTATAAACAACTATGTGACTCGCAATTCTGAATGTCCTTGATACAGTGCAAAATATACATGAACTTAGCCAGAATTCTCCACTCTCTCACCTTCCACATGACTTATTTCTCATGCAAAAAGAGTAGTTATACAATCTCTGCTTTAATTCTGATTCTCATGTTGACAGTTGTGTTGTTAACTTTGATCACTGTAAAGTGTGAAGTCAATGCTAACTATAGTTGTAAGTATTTTTACCAATATCAAATAAGGGTTTGAACGCACTTGATGGTGAATATTATCCATCCTTTCCGATAACTCTTTCACAAACTCTGACACACTCTCAGGCAACTCTTCATAAAGTGGGCGTCCTGTTAGCAGATCCACTGGCAACCGAAGTTTCCGACCAAACATCAACTTTGCTGGAGTGTATCCAGCGGTTTCATGCTCTGCTGTCCTATAGGCCATAAATAGTGGAGGAAGTAAGACATCCCAGTCATCTTGGCAGCTATTACAAAACTTTGCCAATTCCTGTCCCAGTGTCCAGTTGTACTTTTCTACCATCCCATCAGACTGTGGGTGCAGTGGCGTTGTCCTGGTCTTTCGGATGCCAAACCATTTGCAGCATTCTTGGAACACAGCTGATTCAAAGTTACGGCCTTGATCTGAGTGCAGTTCATATGGCATACCAAATCTGAAGAAGAAATCACTAATAGCCGAAGCTACAGTCGTAGCTTCCTGTTACAGTATCATGGGATTGACGCA